GATGGCCCCGAAGAGAAGATTAGGCCGATCACTCAGCCTGATCTGCTTCCAAGCCGATGTAGTAGAAAACACACCTGATGATGTAAGTCTCCACCTCATACCAGTTTGTTGTTGCTAGGTTAGTTATTTGTAGCTGCTAGGTTAGTTGAGTTTTGTTGCTAGGTTAGTTGTCTTAAGTTGCTAGGTTATGTTTTTCTTGCTGCTAGGTTTTTTTTTTTTTTAACCAAACAACGCCCCGGAAGGGCGGGGGATTGGGCTGGATCCCCAACCTGTGCATAGATCAGGGCCCAAAATATCAACGAGCAAGATACAATAGTCTACAGAGTCTCACTAACCAAAATCAAAAACAAAAAACAAAAAAGAAAAACCGAAAAACGAAAAAGAAACAGAAACTACAATACAAAGTCGATCTTCGGACTAACAGATGCCCGAAGTAAATGTCTAGACTAATGAAAGCAAAAATCCTAAACTACTGAAAGCGGAACGCTGGATATCCAAGCTGGTCCATCCGTACAAGAGTGCGAAGGCGGAGTGGAGCAGTGTCGGCCTGAAATGTATGTGTGTCTGGTATGGTGGCGCCAAGGCTGGCCAGATAGTCGGCAGGTTTGTTCCCCTCACGTAAAATGTGCGTGATCCTGTGATGGACTAGGTTAATTAGTTGTCTTTTGTTGTTAGGTTAGTTCTTTCTTGCTGCTAGGTTAGTTGTCGATGCTGCTAGGTTAGTTGTCTTTTGTTGCTAGGTTATTTCTTTCTTGCTGCTAGGTTAGTTGTCTTTTGTTGCTAGGTTAGTTATCTTTAGCTGCTAGGTTAGTTGTGTTTTGTTGCTAGGTTAGTTGTCTGTTGTTGCTAGGTTAGTTAATTGTAGCTGCTAGGTTAGTTGAGTTTTGTTGCTAGGTTAGTTGTCTTAAGTTGCTAGGTTATTTCTTTCTTGCTGCTAGGTTAGTTGTCTTTAGTTGAAGGTTAGTTATTTGTCTTGGTGCTAGGTTAGTTGTCTGATGCTGCTAGGTTAGTTGTCTTTTGTTGCTAGGTTATTTCTTTCTTGCTGCCAGGTTAGTTCTCTGTAGTTGCTAGGTTAGTTCTCTGTAGTTGCTAAGTTAGTACTCCCTCCATTTTGAAATATAAGGCATTTAAGGTTATTGCACAAATATTAAGGAGACATTAATTAATGAATAAATTGACTAAATTAACCTTATTTACTCTAATCACAACCACTCCACACTTCTTTAATTTCAACACAATGAGGGTATATTTAGAAAAAAATGCAAAAATTTGTCTTGATTTTTGAGCGCGCCTTATATTTCAAAAAAATTGAGAAATCTTTATACGCCTTATATTTCAAAATGGAGGGAGTAGTTGCTAGGTTAGTTGTCTGTAGTTGCTAAGAGCTGGTCCCATTTTAAGAGCTGGTCTCATTTGATCCGTCCCTATATATATATATATATATAGGGGATGGATCCAATGAGACTACTCCTTAAAATGAGTACGTGAGACTCAATCTTAACCACTCATTTTGTCTAGATCAAAATCAATTAAAATATACATTAATTTAATAATATAATAGTTGACCGTTGACTCCGGCGTTGACCATTGACTTCCGGCGAGAATCGTTGACTTCCGGCATTGACCCGTTGTATTGAAATAAATAACCTAGCAACAAAAGACACTCAACCTTGAGTGGTGTAGTGGTTGCATTGCTTGTCTTGCCTCCATGAGGTACCAGGTTCAAATCCTATGGGTTACAATTTTTTTATAAAAAAAAAATACAACTAACTTAGCAACATCAGACAACTAACCTAGCAACAAAACACAACTAACTTAGCAGCATCAGACAACTAACCTAGCAACAAAACACAACTAACCTAGCAGCAAGAAAGAACAACTAAACTAGCAACAAAGACAACTAACCTAGCAACAAAACACAACTAACCTAGCAGCAAGAAAGAAATAACCTAGCAACAAAAGACAACTAACCTAGCAACTACAGATAACTAACCTAGCAACTTAAGACAACTAACCTAGCAGCATCAAACAACTAGCCTAGCAGTAAGAAAGAAATAACCTAGCAACAAAAGACAATTAACCTAGCAGCAAGAAAGAAATAACCTAGCAACAAAAGACAACTAACCTAGCAGCATCAGACAACTAACCTAGCAGCAAGAAAGAACTAACCTAGCAACAATAGCAGCAAGAAAAAAATAACCTAGCAACAAAACTCAACTAACATAGCAGCTATAAATAACTAACCTAGCAACAGCAAACAACTAACCTAGCAACAAGACACAACTAACCTAACAAGAAAGAAATAACATAACAAAAGACAAATGGTCAACGGTCAACGTCGGAAGTCAACGCCGGAGTCAACGGTCAACGCCGGAAGTCAACAGTCAACGTCGGAAGTCAACGATTTTCGCCGGAAGTCAACGGTCAACGCCGGAGTCAACGGTCAATGGTCATAATAATATTTAAATAATTAAAAATAAAGAATTAAATAATAAAATAAAAAATTATTATTTAAATCAAGATCTAAATCTTGTGGCTAGGAATGAGTCTCACGTCCTCACTTTAAATAATGAGATGCATTGGAACCAATCCCTATATATATATATATATATATATATATATAAAGTATTACATTCGAGTCAACGTTCACTCGAATTAATTAACTAATAGGAAGTGCACAATTAATTGACATCAGATTTAAAAATCCATGAAGTCTTATTTTATTATTATTATAATTGTGAAAATATATGAAGCACAGACTGGCTTATAGTCAATCATATTTTGACACGAGGGAAATCAAGCAACGGATTGCATTCTACAATATGAAGAAAAAAAAATAAATAAATAAATAAATAAATAAATAAATAAAATAAAATAAAATAAAATCTCGCTGCATTGATTACGTTTGCAATGACGTAGCTTATTTGTGAAAGCAAACTTGTAATTATGTGAACACATTAAAAATACTCACAACCTTAAAGATAGAGTGATAGTCAACCGCAACTTTGTTATAATATTTTTTTGGTCACAAATTATTGTCTTATTTCTGCTTTTACGTATGGTACTGGTACAAGTATTAGTATACAAAAGAGTTGGTTTAATAATTAGGTCACAACCTTGACGAGTAAAGGCACTTCCACACAATCGTACAAATCTATTTGCTAAACTCTAGCTACTTCTTATTTTACTTATTAATCGAAGAAAATTAAATTTATCCCAAAATTTTAAGTGTATATCCACACTAATACGGCGTATTAGAATCCAATTAATTAATAGTATTTCCAATTTTTTAAAATCATTTAAAGATAATTTTGGGAAAAAAAAATAATGGGATGTGTGAATGCTTGCCGAAATTAAGTTTTCGATCAAATAATTCATTTTTAAAAAATTACGTGACTACTATTAATCAGGGGGATTCCACTAATACACATTGCGTGATGACTTTTAAATTATTTTTTCTTTCATTCTACATTTACTATTTCAAGTGTATAATTAAAGTAAGATGCAAATCACATTACGTAAGGTATTCAAAACTTCTTTTGTTTTAGAAATTTATAGCTTTCACCAAACTAAGGATTATGAGGAGTTCAATCTAGTGCGGGATTGGATATAAATAAAATTGATTTTTATTTTATTTATTCGTTAAATTGAGTTAGTTATTAATAAACCATAAAAGAAATCGAAATGAAATCAAATTGAACCGAAGTTCTCTATATTAAATAACTGAACCATACTATGCACGATTCTGCTCTTTGTTTTTTTCTTCGTTTTTTATACATTTGTATATAATTTGTTGCACCAAACTAATTAAACTGAATTTGTAAAAAAATAATATTCGAACCTAGTATAGATAGTAATATAGTGACAAATCGTACAGCTCGACCAAGCCGGTTCAGTGAAGCCATTAGGTCAACTAGCTAGAGACGTTGGGTCTGGTAAATCAGGTTCAAGGAAACACAGTTCGACCTGAAATGACCCAGGAACTAATACTCGACCTAACGGGTAAGGACGAGGTGGAACTGAACGAGCTAAATATGTTATTTGAGCAACCGAGATCTCGCGTCATAAACAAGTCTTGGAACGCAACACGACCTGGGATCTAAAAGACCTAAGAAATGAGCACAATGTGAACACACAAAGATAAGTACAATCATTAAGATAAAGACGAGCCTCGTGCAATATATTCGGGCAGCGCCAACTGTCCTCCTAGGCAGCCCGTACTTTCGGACAACCCTTTCGGGAGCACCTAGACACAATTAGGGAAAAACTGTATGATAAATCTTCTTCTCCATCTAATATATCTTGAATATTCTAAATACAGTTCTTCAATTTCCCCATACTAACTTGATCGACGGAGTGCTAACCTCGAGATAACCTCCTACCCTTTTTGCATGTCATTATTACAACCGTGAACAGCTACATCTTAAGAGTTTCTAGAAGATCCGCCCAGTTTGAACCAGAGTTATTTTGTGGAGCACCATTAGAACCACACCGCAATGTAGAAAAAAATCGAACCAAAAATTTTTCATACTAAAAAATCAAATCGAACTGAACCGAATTGCATAGTTCGACTTGATTTTTGGTTTTGGCTCAATTTTATTAGCCCCTAAACATATATATATATATATATATATATATATATACATTTATTTATTTATTTCTAGATTATTCAAGATAATTAATTTGTGATTCCAATAAAGATGGAGAAAAATAAAATAAAATAAAAAATACACAACTCTTTATCACTTCCCATGCTAATAAGCACTCTCACTATAAGTCCCACTCCATATGGACCATATTTGCTAGCCATTAACATAAAACTAAAAAGTGGTCCATACCAAAACTTTCATGTGCATCATAATTAATTTAGCTTGGTTGTTATTAAAAAAACTATCCCTAACATTTTGGTAAACCCTCCATCATCTATCACCATCAAATTCCCTCCTCTCAAGTCTATATAAACAACCAAACTTTCTCATAACCCCTCAACAATTCCAAAAAACCACACACACAAAAATAAACAAACTCTCCCAACCCTAAAATCCTATACCCAACAACAAATTAACTAAAGAGCATATATCTCATAAAAATGTCTATAATTATATTCCACACAACCTTCATCTACATTCTCCTCTTTCTCACCACACTTATTTACTACGTAATATCGAGAAACTCTAACCGAAAACACAAACGGGCCATGAAACTCCCACCGGGCTCCATGGGTTGGCCTTACCTCGGCGAAACTCTTCAACTATACCGTAACGACCCACACATCTTCTTTTCCGAAAAACTACAAAGGTACGCAATTCCCATCAACTTTATCTTCATACCTTCCATTGTAAAAATATATGTTTTTCTTCACTCAAGTTAGTCCTCCGAACTCTTTTCTTAACTTTATTTTTTTCTCTTTCCTTTTCTCATGAAGATATGGGGAGATATTCAAGACACGCATTCTCGGGTGCCCGTGCGTGATGCTGGCGGGCCCCGAGGCAGCCAAATTCGTGCTTGTGAATAATGCGGGCCTGTTCAGGCCCACATACCCAAAGAGCAAGGAGAGGATGATAGGCCCATGGGCCCTATTTTTCCATCAAGGGGACTACCATAGCTTCGTGAGGAAGCTCGTGCAAGGTCCGTTATCGCCCGAGGCCATCAAGAGGCTTATTCCAGAGATAGAAGCCATAGCTGATTCTGTTATGGAGTCTTTGACACGTGGCAAAGTTGTTAACACTTTTCAAGGAATGAAAAGGGTATGTAATATAGTTTGAATTTTCTGTAAAATGAAACCAAATAAAGTAATTAAAGATTTTAAAGGGAAAAAAAATGGAAATATTGCAAAATTGATCATGCAAAATATGTGTGATTCACTAATTTGGCTGGCTATGGGTCCTCCCAAATTTTTTTTTTTTGGAAGTTATTAGTTAACATCATCATTAACAGTTATTTGTATATAATAATTGGGCCCAACAAATCTAAATATATCTTTTATTGGCCCCCTTGTACTCATGATGTGTAATATGTCCTTCTATAGTTCTCATTTGAAGTTGGGATTTTGGCAATATGTGGGCACTTGGAGAAAGAACAAAAGGAAAAGCTAAAAGAAAATTACTCCATAGTGGACAAGGGCTATAACTCTTTCCCCACAAGCCTTCCTGGGACAGCATATCACAAAGCAATAATGGTAAGTAATAAAAGCTAATAATAATAAAAAAAAAAAATAATAATTATTTTCAAACAACTTAATTTTATTTTATTTTTTAATATTAGATCAAATTCGGCTAACGCACTTAATTTTCTCTCTTCCAATTTGATTTGAAGGCGCGGAGAAGGCTTAGCGAGATTATTCGGGAGATTATTTGCGAGAGGAAAGAGAAGAAATTTTTGGGAAATGATCTATTGAGCCATCTTCTAATTTGCGAAAACGACAAAAAACGAGCTCTAACGGACGATCAAATTGCCGATAACATCATAGGAGTACTATTTGCAGCTCAAGACACAACAGCTAGTGCATTAACATGGATCCTCAAATATCTCCATGATAATCCAAAGGTTTTAGAAGATGTTAAGGTAATTTTGACTTTTTTTAGTCTGATTAGTACTTTATGGACATGTGTCTTAAAATAAATAATTCCTTAATTTTTTTAATTTGATTTTGGCTTAATTTAGTTCCTTATATGTATATATATAGGCTGAGCAGAGAGAAATCTATCTTGCAAATGAGAAAGGAGATAGGACCCTAACATGGACACAAACTAGAAATATGCCAATCACAAACAAGGTACAAAGTTTTTATTATCTATATTTTTTTTACCTTGTTAAATAACAAACATATATAAATAAAAGATATTTGATCTCTTGTTTTCACATAAAATAAAAGCAGCAATACAAATATAATTATTGCAATTCTGTGATGGTAATTTAAATTTTAAAATATTTCAGGTAATATTAGAAAGTTTGAGGTTGGCAAGCATCGTGTCCTTCACTTTCAGAGAAGCTGTGGTTGATGTGGAATATAACGGTAAGATTTTAGTATTAATTTCATAGGCTTCAAAAATTTTATTGCAAGAGAACATTTTAATTTAATTTTGTTTTTCTTTTAGTGGGGTCTTATTGTTTTAAAATTTGAAATAAATTAGTGAACATAATTTTTTTCTGTGACAGGTTATCTTATCCCAAAGGGTTGGAAGGTTATGCCATTGTTCAGAAATATTCATCACAACCCAGAATTTTTTAGTGAGCCTAAAAAATTTGACCCATACAGATTTAAGGTATGAGAAAATTAACCTCATAACTTTTTTTTTCTTTATTATTATTTGAGGTTGAGTTTTATTTAATTTTTGTTGGACTGGGTTGGTGGATGCAGGTTGCTCCAAAGCCCAATACTTACATGCCATTTGGCACTGGGTCCCACTCCTGCCCAGGAAATGAACTTGCCAGACTTGAGATGCTCATTTTCATCTATCATCTAGTTAACAAATTGAGGTCAGAGGAAAAAAAAAATTGTACAACTTTTTTTTTGTTTTTGTTTTTTTTTTTCTTTTAAATTTTGTGTAGATAATAGATGAACCTCATTAGTATTTTAATTGAGTTAAATTTTGATATAACATCCCTACTAGTCACTTGATTGAGATAGCATATTTATATCAATCTAGTTGAAATTGTAATAATCTCGTAATTTTTTAAAATTTTCTAATTTGAGAATAATTTCGTCAAAATTTCAAGCCCAAAATCATCATTAGATTGATCAATTTTAAAATTTTTATGTTGAATAATTATGGTTGTCTAACCTTTAGGTTCTGACATTTAATTTAATTATCATCTTATTTAAAGATTTCAACTAACTTATTAATTTGATCTTGTGCTCGATTGCAGGTGGGAAGTTGTGGGCTCAAAAGGTACTATAGAGTACAGCCCGTTTCCAGTTCCTCACAAAGGGCTCCCGGCCCGATTCTGGATAGAGCCCGATAACCCATAGTCTCTGTTACCAGCAAAAGATATTTAATTACTAAAGGAAGATTTTACTTTTAGGCAAATAAGGAGCGTGATCGGCTTTTGCCCCCCAAAACCCTTTTTTTTATTTATTTAGCAAAGGGTAACATCTATACTAATAACAATGTTATGGGGGCAATTTGTAATTCTCGGAAGTATGTAAATTGTAGTAGTGAGTTGGGATAAATATCGAAAGGGAAATAATTGGTGATGTTATCTTTTTGTAATATTTTAACTTGTTATTATATGATGAATAAATTAAGTTCAGTGTTTTATGCAGTGCCGGCTCCAGTGGGGAGGCAGAGAGAGGCTCTTGCCTAGGACCTCAATTTATTTGGGGTCACATTTTTTTTTGTTGGTTAATATTATGCATTTGTGTTGGGTTTGATCCATTTAAATAAATGAAGTGACCTAATTAATGAATGAGTAATGACTAAATATTGACTTAGCCCATTACACAAATAAAGATGTTAATTAATAAAGAGTTAAGGGATAATAACTAAATATGGACTTGGTCCACTACACAAATGAAGAAGCTAATTAATAAAAAGGCTAATGGTTAAATATGTAATTCGTTTGTGAATTTGAAAACCTTTATTTGTTTTCTTATGATGTTTGGTATGAAAAATTTTTATTAGAATAATTAGTTTCAGTGATATTATTTTTTATTTTTTTATCTTAATGTCCTCGTGACTGCTTCAATGTAATTTATTAAATATCTCTCTAAACTCCAGAGATAATTTATCATTTTCCAAGATATATTTCAGGATTGATGAAAAACAAGAAAAATCATTTCTTTTTCAATTATTTATTTATTTAGCTTGTCTTGTTGAATTAGCTGTTTTTTTCTTCTTTGCTTACCACACAAATTCAAATTGGGAATTTCGAAAAAATGTCTAGGACCTCCAAATTTCTGGAGACGGCCCTGATTTTATAGATATACTTTATTAGTTTATTACAATTGGTTCCCTTATAGTTAAATATTTTCACAATATATAATGATTTTCATACTCGCCCGCATAAAAATATTATTAAAAAGATACATTCACCAGTCCATGCATGGTACGCAAAACTGTAAATTTGTGAAATTAATTTACCGAAAATTTCTTTAAATAACGTTGATTTGCCATATATATACCGAATGGTCACATATACCAAGAATTAATATATCCAATAATATTTTCACAGCTTCAACTTGCAAATTGCAATTGCTTCTCACAATTGTTTAGTAAAAAAAATATAAAACGGATACTACATCTCAGGCCTTAAGTCATCCGGAGATCAATGGATAATTACGGGCTATACGCATAACCTCCATATATCTCATCTCACAATTACCAGCTCGCTGGTTGAACACCCGGTCGTTTCTCCACCCTCACCTATCTTCTCACCATTCCAAATCTAATTTTCCTTTTCTCAAAATATTCTGTCGAGTACTATATATTAGTGGCGCAATTGCATGGGCTACAAATATTCCCTACAAATTGAATCACAAACACAATCTTCGAGTTCACGTGAAAGTCATCATCAGTGGCAAGCACTCAAAATTGCATTGATTGATGATTTTTTTTTTTTTTTTTTTTTTTTTCTCCTCAAACGTCAATTATATTAATAACTTAAAAGCTCAAAAGAGTACAACTGAAGTGTCAAATGACACACTGGAACCAGAAGACTGGACCAGCCCCCTTGTCATCACACACAAGGGGGTACAAACTCAATCAAGAAAGCGAACAACCACAAAACAGAACTCCAAAACAGAAACGCTAACTCCATATAGGAGAGAAAGCAGACACATATCTCTACTCGGGCCAATGAAGCCAAAGCCGCTCTCAAGGAAGCACAACAAATGCTCCACGACCAACCGGATGATCTCGGCATCAAGTCTAAGTTGGGGCCTCTTAGGCTCCAAGCTCTCAACTTGGCCAAAGCGGAAAAATTATTCTTCCAACAAAAGGCCAAATGCACTTTCCAAATCAAAGGAGATAAATGTACCAAGTTCTATCATAGCTTGGTCAAGAAGAGAGCGAAAAAGAACTATATTGCTTCGATAACTCGTGAGGATGGCACATTAACCGGTTCCATGGAGGATGTTTCTAAGGAATTTATTCGTTACTATGAAGGCCTATTGGGAACCGGGGTGCAAACGGAGGACATTGACCCTCAAATTCTTAGTTCGGGGCCGACCCTTAGCCCCAACCATCGTAGCACTCTAATGGTCCCGGTAACCGATGAAGAGATCAAGTCCACCCTTAGAGGCATTGAAGGAGGCAAATCCCCGGGCCCGGATGGCTACACCTCTACCTTCTTCTTAAAGAGTTGGGATGTGGTTGGTAATGACCTTGTTGCGGCAATCAAAGAATTTTTTCGTTCCGGGTCCATCCTCAAGCAATGGAACCATACCGGAATCACGCTTGTCCCTAAGTCCTCACACTCCTCCCGAGTCACGGACTTTCGGCCAATTGCGTGTTGCAACACGGTTTACAAGATTTGCTCCAAAATCCTCGCAAGAAGAATTAGCGAGGTCCTCCACACTATTGTTGATGAAGCCCAAGCCGCTTTCGTGAAGGGAAGAAATATGACGGACAATATTCACCTCATGCAACAATTACTCCGTCAATATTTGAGAAAAAGAGTCTCCCCGAGATGCTTGATCAAGATCGACCTCCGTAAAGCATTCGATTCCGTCTCATGGGCCTTCTTGAGGCAAATGCTTGAGGGTTTAGGCTTCCCAATGGCTTTCACTAAGTGGATCATGGAGTGCATCACCACCCCTTCGTATTCATTATCCATCAATGGAAGCCTTAAAGGCCATTTCAAAGGAGCTCGTGGGCTAAGACAAGGTGACCCTCTCTCGCCTTTTCTTTTTGTTCTTTGTATGGAATATTTATCTCGGCTCATTAAATGGCACACGGCGGAAGACCCGAACTTTAAATTCCATCCTATGTGTGAGAAGCTTAGAATCTCTCACCTTGTCTTCGCCGATGACCTCATGCTCCTCTCTCGGGGAGACTCGGGGTCAATACAATTGCTTATGAATTGTTTAAGGGATTTTGGAGCAAAATCGGGGCTTGAAATGAATGTGCTCAAATCCAACATATATATGGCCGGAGTTAAAGGGCAAGACCGTGAGACAATCCTTGATGACACTAGTTTGCAAAGCGGGCCTATGCCTTTTCGCTACCTCGGGATTCCCCTCACCGCGGATCGCATTACCGGGAGGCTCTTTGATGATATGATCAAACAAGTTGAAAGCCAATTAAGTGCATGGAGGAGTCACTCCCTTTCCTATGCCGGTAGATTGGAACTAATTCGATCGGTCATTCAAGGCATCGCTTGCTTTTGGATGGGTATATTCCACTTGCCGGGCATTGTTCGAACCAAGATCATTCAACTTTGTAGGAGGTTCTTATGGGGCTCCAAAAAAGCCCCCGTTGCATGGGATACTTTGTGTCTACCTCGTGCGGAGGGTGGATTGGGACTCCGTAACTTGGACGCTTGGAACCGAGCCCTTCTCATGAGGACTCTTTGGAATATGCAAGCAAAGAAGGATTCACTTTGGTACAAATGGATCCACAATATCTATTTGAAGGAGAAAACTATTTGGGATTGGCAAGTTTCCAAAAATGATTCTCCCCTCTTCAAATCCCTCTTTGAAATCCGGCAAAGCTTGATTGAAAAAGCGGGTAGCGAGCATGGCGCGGAAGCCCTTCTCCGTGCTTGGAATTTGCGTGACAAACAAGATGGAAGGAGGAAGTGCTATGATTTTCTCCGTCCCAAGGGTATCGAGAAGCCATGGACCGGGGTTGTTTGGGGAAGTTGCAATACCCCTAAACATTCTTTCATCTTATGGCTCGGCGTAATGAATAGGCTCCAAACAAAGGATAGATTGGAGTTCCTCAACGAAGACCCCACATGCCTCCTTTGTGGTACCGCAAACGAATCCTCGAGTCATCTCTTCTTCGAGTGTCCCTATAGCTTGGAGATTTGGAGTGCAATTAGAGTTTGGGTTAGCCTCCGTCACATGCCATCTACCCTTAAAGGCGCCCTCAAATGGACTAAAAAAGAAGGGAAAGGTACGACTTGGCGAGCCAAATTGAAGAAAGCGGCGCTTGCGGCAACCGTCTACTTCATTTGGAACGCACGCAATAGATTGATTTTTGAAGGCGAAAGTCAACCTCCAAGCCTCGTGATTAGAAAGGTAAAAACACATGTTTACCGCACTATCTTTGCTATCTACCCGAGTGTTCTTGCCGAATTCGAAAGGAGATGTTTTGGCCTTGAATTTTGAAATGTTTTGAGTTGGTTGTTGCAAAGTGTGTGAGCTATTGGAGAGGAAGTCTATTGTTTCCCCTTCTTCGAGTGAGCACCCGACTTGTGGTTGGCCTCGTTTATTTTGGTTCTTGCGAGTGAAGAGACGACCTGTGTCTACCCACTACGCTTTGATAGCCGTCTCGGTTGTATGACTTTCATTTTTGATCAATACAAATTTATTTAACGATAAAAAAAAAAAAAAAAAAAAATTACAAAAAT